CTGCAACATGTGTAGATGTACCCGAGCTAGCTTTCATGGAGCTAGCTCAAATAACAATAGCAGTGAAGCAGTGGCAGCATGGGCTGAACAACCCTTCCCAGGACCCTGGGTATGTACTCAAATGCTAGACCCTGCTGTCAGAGCTTCACTGCTGTTGTTATCAGGCTGGCTATATCAAAGCTAGCTCTGGTATGTCTCCATCAGCTGCAGCCACACCTCTGATTGCAGTATAGACAGACCCTCTGTGTGCACATGCAAATTCAGGAAAAGCAGAGGAAAAACCTCACACATCCTCACCTACTTGAGAAAATAATTCTACTGCAGATCTAAGTGCTGAAAAGCCCGAGGGGGTGAGACCATTTCCCAGAGCTAATGCATGTGATATGGCATGAGGTACAAAAGAGACAGGGTCAAAGACAAAATGGGTATGGTCTGCAGGAAAATATGACTGCATACATGCAGGAGGACCAAGCATGTAAGTCCCTACACATAGTTCTTGTGCAACTTATTTCACCTCAGATCAGGAATAAGAATAAAGTGGGGAAGAGGTGTAATGAAGATAAATTCATTAACATTTGTGACTCACTCAGTGCTACAGTGACACATGCCATAAAGAAGACCCTGAGGAAATTAATAATTCCTTATTCATTGCAAGGGTTATATGGTGTTCAGCATATAAGTGTGGGGAATTACACACTGAATGATTAAAAAGAAAAAATATTGAACAGTTGTCTTGGTCACTGAATTCCATCCAGTCTATGTGTTGAATGAGGCAGGAAGCTTTAATTACATGTGATCATGTAACTAAAAAAAGGTATAATAATGCATCCACACAAGGGGACATGAATTAAGGTTTAACAGACAAGTCTATCTGTCTCAGTTCTGGCATTTCCTAACTTTGAGTGATTGATTCTTCAATCTAAATGTATTTTTAATGTAATGTTTTATTAACCTTGGATAATAAGGTGACCCTTTAGTGCATGTAAATTTACATGGGAAGCTGCCCACACGGTTTTTCCACTGAAAATTGAAAGTGGATGACTAAGGCCTTGGCTACACTTGCGAGTTACAGCGCTGTAAAGCCGCCCCCAGCGTTGTAACTGACTCCCCGTCCACACTGGCAGGGCACTTACAGCGCTGTATCTCCCTGGGTACACCGCTGCAGGTACTCCACCTCCCCGAGAAGCATAAGAGATACAGCGGAGTGGCTACGACTCACGGGTGTGAGTGTAAACGCTTGCATCGCTGTACTAATCACCTTGTCAAGTGGCCAATCCTCTCCATTGTTATGACCGGCTGCAGGAATGCGGAAGTGCCGGTTTCAAAGCTCATACCACAGAGAGAAGCAAACAGTTTGCTGTTTGCTTTGAGTGAGTGAATGAATGAGCAGGGGGCCGGGAGTTCGGAACTTGCAAACTAGAGTGCTGACACGCTCCAAAAAGCACTCTCTCTCCCCCCACCCTCCCTGTCACACTCCACCCCATCCCCGTTTTGAAAAGCACGTTGCAGCCACATGAATGCTGGGATAGCTGCCCATAATGCACCGCTCCCAACACAGCTGCAAATGTTGCAAGTGTGGCCACGCCACTGCCCTGGCAGCTGTCAGTGTGGACAGACTGCAGCGCTTTTCCCTACTCAGCTGTACGAAGACAGGTTTACATCACAGCACTGTACAGTTGCAAGTGTAGCCAAGGCCTAAGAGATTAGAACTCTCTTTTCCCTACTTCTGTGTGAATATTTTAAACCCATTCAAAAAAACCTTATACAACTGTATATCCACTTAAATATCCTTGCTCCTGTATACTCATGTGGCCCCATTTTTTGATGTCTAGATGTGCAACTGGTGCACAACGTTTTGAAAACACCCCATTGTGTTTAATCGGGGGCAGGGAGGGAGTTCTTTTTTGTTTTTTCTGTGTCAAAATAGTTTTGTTAGATGATATAGTTACCTCATATCATGTACTTGATCTTTTTTTTTTTTTTTTTTTTTTTTTTTTTTTAGCAACACAGAGTGGACTATTGGAAAATACCTTTGGTCTACATGTGTATTGGCTTACACACGTATTAGCTTATATACCTCTACCCTGATATAACGCGACCTGATATAACACGAATTCATATATAACATGGTAAAGCAGCGCTCCAGGGGGGCGGGACTGCGCACTCCGGCGGATCAAAGCAAGTTCAATATAACACAGTTTCACCTATAACGCGGTAAGATTTTTTGGCTCCCGAGGACAGCGTTATATCGGGGTAGAGGTGTATCAGTAAACACCCAAGTCACACTGTAAAACTCTAAAGAGACATATAACAGTTCGACATACAGATTGCATGATCTCTTCAGTAAAAAAAAACTGTGTGTGGATGTCCCATAACCTGGCTTTAAATTGTGTAGTGATACAGAACTATTGTTCTTGATGCTAATTCTAGCCTGCAGAGGCAGTGCAGCAATGTGAAAACCTTTGGTTTCCACTTTTCAGTGTATTAAATGACCTGTGAATGCATTTGAAGCTTTCTAGGTTCCAGCCCCTCAACATGAATTAGCACTTCATCTGTGTTCAGAATGAATGGACTAGCATACTTCAAAGAAATCAGCTTTTAAAATGAAAACACTGCATAGCAGCATCACATGCAGGTGACTAATGTCTTAAACAGAGCTTGAATGACTTTAGACAGCCATCAGAAAGCTTGTAAGCACCTGGTCCTTCAGGGAGCAGAGCACTTCCTGAAATATGCTGAGGACCATCAATGCCCACTGATTTCAATAGGAGTTGAAGGCATTCATCAGCATATAGGATTGGCCTTTAGTTAAAAAGGTAAAAGTACAGTATGTGCTGGTGTGAACATGGTGCCTGGAGGGGCCACACTGAGAATGCTTACTCAGGGCAAACTGCAAGGAATAGGGCAGACAATTCCCAGAACTGGTGGTTTAGTCTATAATTAATTAGATTAAGCTAGTAACCAAATAGCTTCTGTAATACCACACTGGTTACCAAGAAGCCAAACTACAGTCCCCTTTAAACAATCCAACCTTTGGCTTCCATCCAGGCAGACTAATATAGTGAGGGGTTATTGAAAGCCTTATTCACCATATTTAAAGTTCTACCAATCCCAAGGGACCACACACATTGCCCACTAGATCAATGAATGTTTCAGATCTCACCCAAGTACATGCTTACAGCCAATCCTTTATTAAGTAAATCTAAGGTTTATTAATAAAAGAAAAAGAAAGATTTACGTATGGTTAAGGGATCAAAATACATACAAATGTGTGTAAAGTTCTTAGATTAGTTTCATAGCAGAGATGGTGAGACTGCTGATTTGTAAAAGAATTCTGGAGTCAATTTAAAAGGATACAGTCCAAGTGCAGAGTTTGTTCAAATTCTTCCATGAGAATTCCAGGGTAAATCCAAAGAAATACTGGAGATCTCAGTCTTGTGGTTTAGACTTTCCCTGTCAACGTTTAAGCAGATCTGAAATTAAAAGGATCAGGCCCGAAGTTTCCTTTATAGTTGAAGCCATTGGATACTCTCTTGACAGCAATTGCCACAGCAGGCTCTTTGCTTGAAGTTAATCTCCTGTTTCCTATGCATACACAGGTAACTAATTGTATTCATTAACATAAGGCAGTTAAGCAATCAAATTGTAAAGGCAGTTCATTATGGCATAGACAATTAAGTTGAAGACAAATGTAAATAATATCATTTCCTACAGTATCCTACATCTTTGATCTTAAGGTTAATTGACCCATCCACATGCAATTAAGACATGAAAGGGAATTAGTATCTACAAACTAATCTGGTTACATTGTTAACTTCTAACAAGATATAGGTAAACGCAGACCCACAGCATCTACACTTTGATTCTCTAACAAACAATACAGGCAAACATATTAAAGATTCTAGTCTACTTAACATGGCTTTGAGAACTATATACAAGGAATGGCCCTATTTACCATTTCAGTGCCTCCTGTTAAGTTGGTATGGTCACACACAAATTGACCAATCTGTCAGTGTCACAGCTGGTAATAGAGAAGACATACCAGCTGTCGTTCAGGCAAAGAATAAAATGGTGGCCAAGTTTTCAAATTTAGCCATGTAATTTGCCTACTGCAATGTTATAATTGATCAGTCAAATGGGCACATAGGTGCCCAACTACCCAATTTACATGTCTATATGCAGATTCAAGCAGCCAAATATGGATTTTGCACATTCTGTTAAGATACCAATGTTTGAAAATTGGTCTCTCTGGGCCATATTTTGATTGCAGTTACATTGGTGTAAATTTGAAGTTGCTGGGCTTGTTCCTCAGGTCTGGCTGAACCCTGGTTGGTACAGGACTCAAGGAGGTGCAGGCTAAGGTGGCCTAGTCCCTAGTGCAATTTAGAGAATCCCAAAGGCTGCTCTAAGTTTCACCAGCTGGTAACAGCCCCCCAAAGAGCTATTTCTCCAGCCAGGGATTACTGGAGTTCAGCAGTGCTCCAGCCACACCAATAACACTAGCCCATGCCAGTGTAATTGAAAGAATAAATAAATTTTCCTCTCCCCTCTTTAAAAAGAAACACCACGTTGCACAAAATATGCAGTTCTAAGACTCCCAAGACAGTATTGATTGTGAATGTTGCTGTTATTCCCATCGATCTTTCATGAAGCTAAACAGCACAACATTCATATATTTGCATGTCATAGCAGAGTTCAGTATTATTTTTGTAAATCTTCTAACGTAATGACTACAGAACAGCGTGTAATTTCACTTTTCATTTTGCCCCCTTACTTCTCACTGTAGAGATGATAATTATTATTAGCCTGCAATTGTCTCCAAAATGTGCTAGGTGCTTTAGTGTGATATGAAATGAACTACATATTTGTGGCAAGATCCTTATTTAATTGAAGTCGATGGTAAAACCCCCTTTGACTCCAAATGGGCCCAGGATTTGGTTCTTGGAAAGTAAAATGCTGTGTAGAATTCTTTATTAATTCTTGTGTTTTCATCTCTTCAGGGGATGAGCACTCCCGGGAATCTCCAGCCCCAGCAGAAGCACAGATGCAGGCTGGGGTGGAAGGCAGTGGAAGGGGAAATCGTTGCTGTTGGAAATGCTCAGTGACCCAACTCAAGAAATTTTTCTGGGGAGTGGCAGTGGTCCTGGGTGTCTGCTCCTCCTGGTCAGGTTCAACCCAGCTAGCAAAATTGACCTTTAAGAAATTCGATGCACCCTTCACTCTGACATGGTTTGCAACAAACTGGAACTTTTTATTTTTTCCTTTGTATTATATTGGACATGTTTTCAAATCAGCTGAGAAACAGTCTCCGAAGCAGAGATACAGGTAAGAGAGCTTTGTGTTTTCAGTTTTGCTTTCATGATACTTGAACTTTGCTGTACCCCTTGAGCTGATGTTTTATTCAGATCACTTTGTTAAATCAATATTGAATGTTTTTCTTTTCAGCATTGTTAAAGAGGGTTCTGAATTCACTATTGAAGGCTTGCAAGCTGAGTATGTTTTTTATTCCTTCTATGAACTTATTCCAAAAGAAGACTTGCAGGTTCATTCCCAATGCTTGTTTTAAAGGCATTTGATTGAAGTGTGCACTTTATTTTGTTACCTGTCTGGGGTTTTCCATCTTATCCTTGAAAAAAAATTGAGTTCTTCCTCTACTTTACAGCTAACTTTCTTGCAATCTCTCCCTCATAGTAAAATGGGAAAGCAGCTGCTTCCAAAACCTATGCTTCTGTGGCACCATGGATTGCCTGCAAAGGATGCTATAACATTGGGTTGGTAAATCCCTTTCATTTCTAGATACTTAGGGCTGAACTCTGACCCCAGTGACACCCCAGCTACCACATACATTTCATTGGGGTAGCACAGGTATAGCTGAGGATAGAATTTAGCCCTTAATGTACCTTTTTCCATCTACAAGGTGTGGATCACCTCATGGGAAGTGCTGAGTGCCTAACTCCCATTAGCTTCAGTTGCAATTGAGGGCCCTTAATCAGCTTCAGGATATGGCTCATTTTGAGGTTCTCCCCCAGTCTTGGAACTGCATTTTTCACTCCTTTTCCAGCCTTAGCAAAAACTTCTCAGATAAAATGTTTGAACTGAATCATAGAATATCAGGGTTGGAAGGGACCTTAAGAGGTCATCTAGTCCAACCCCCTGCTCAAAGCAGAACCAATCCCCAGACAGATTTTTGCCCCAGATCCCTAAATGGGCCCCCTCAAGGATTGAACTCACAACCCTGGGTTTAGCAAGCCAATGCTCAAACCACTGAGCTATCCCTCCTGGCCCCTGAAGATATCCTTCAATGAATAAAAGTCTCTTCTATAGCCCAGTGATGCTTAGTGCAGCTTGATGTAATGCCAGAGTCCAGTATTACTTCATGTAAACAACCTCCTTTACATTTATGTTAAAAAGGTACAAAGTCACCAAGTTAGTCCCATGTCAGTCTGACATCTTCGCAAACATTACCTTCCCTTTTTAAAAGGTTGTAGAATTAGGAATCTAATTGGGCTATGCAGAGGTGAGATGTCGCTGTTAGAGACCCACCTGAAAAAGTCTTTAGCCCAACATCAGGGCAATGAAAAACAGGACTTGGGAACATCTTTTGTCTCAGTTATATCAGTGGGACCCTCGTGACTTCAGAGAGGTTGCCCAGATATGGGAGCAGGTATAGTTTGCTCCTTCATTGAGATTTTTTTAACTTCCAGATGTGTAGTAATGGGTCAGAAACTTACTATAGAACATACCTATGAAATCAGGGCACTCAAGAGGTACTGTACTCTATGTTACTATGGTAAAGATTAAAAATCATGGAATTTCATTCTGGTTAATGTTAGTTATATCTTCTTACTGTTATAACTTCATCAGGGAAATTGTGGATGAAGGGACTTCACCACAATTCTTCAGTTCCTACCGCAATACCAAGGAGTTTTAGAATAAGGTTTAAGATGACGCTGTCATTACACTTCAACTTCAGCCTGCAGCAAGCCATAATGTCAATGAAATATATTTCCATTCATTTTTATCCCCCTTTTGAGAAATGAGAGAACCTAGACGTTAGAGATTGTGACAGTTTTGTCCAAAAGTGATCATGAATGCTAACATATTACTACCAGATTTTATTCCTTTGGTTTGTTTGTGTTGGGTTTTTTTTTACTTTCAATTTGCTACAGACAACCTTATGTTTAAATACTTGTGAATCCTGGTGTGAGATACTGTAGCCCTTCAAATCCCCAGAGCTTAAAAGCAGCACACTAATTCTCTTCTTCTTTAAGGTTAATTAATTCTGCTGATAGTCTTATGCCTTCCATTCAATTAATTGATGACTGAGCTGAAGAAAGGGTGCAAATCCTAAATTCTATTTGAGAAGTAGCTGAGATTTCATTTCAAATAAACATCTAGCCTGTTTAGTGAACAATGGTGAAGACTGTACATTTGCATCTTTGACCAGCAGAGTGAATTGTGATTAACTAAGCATATTATAGGCATCTACTGGATAGGGCACTGGATGGTGTGTTAAGAGACCTGGGTTCTATTTCTGTCACTGACTTACTGGGTGATTTTGACTGACTCACTTCACCCCTCTGTTCCTCCTCCACACTTTGTCTATTTAGCTTATAAACTGTTCACGGGAGGGACTGTCCCTTGTTAGGTGTATATACAGTGCCTACCACAATGGGTCCATGATCTAAATTGGGGTTTTTATGTGCTACTGCTATACAAATAATTATTAATAACATATATGCAAAATCCTATATTATGCCTGAGGAAACACAAGGGTATGTTTCCTGCACCAAGTGTTATTTATTGCCTTTTCTGCATATATGTGGTAGTACTTTTTATAGATTCATAGATCCCAAGACCAAAAAGGACCACTCTGATCATCTAGTCTGAGCTTCTGTATAACACAGGCCATAGAACTTCCCTGAAATAATTCCTGTTTGAACTAGAGCATCTGTCATAGGAAAAACATCCAATCTTGATGTTAAAATTGTCAGTGATGCAGAATCCATCACAACCCTTGGAACATTGTTCCAGTAGTTAATTACTTTCACTGTTAAAATTTATTAGACCAGAGAGAGGCTGATTCTATAGTCTGGTGGTTAGGGTAAGGTACTCAGTTGGGAGGGGGAGAGTCAGGGTCAAGTCCCTGATCCAATAAACATTTAATTATTTATACAAAGTGGAACAGCTCCAACAGGAGAAGTTAAGAAAGACCCAACCCAGTTTAGCCCATAATCTGATGGCTAAAGCATTCACCTGGCATACGAGAAAACTTGGATCAAGTCCGTGCTCCAAATCAGATGGAGAATGGATTTGAACTCAGACCTTCTACATCCCAGGTGAGTGCCCTAACCACAAGCGGGGTCATAGGTGCTGGAGCTGGTTGCGCTGCCACACTCCCTGGCTTCGAGTGGTTTCCAGGATTTACAGTTTGGTTCAATGGCTCTCAGCATCCCCACTGTACAAATTGTTCCAGCACCCCCGAGGGGGGTTACCTAGTCCAGAGGTATTAGAAAGTGGTTCAGGAGGAGATGCAGTGTCCGCACCAAAGGACATCACAGAGATGACAGGGCCCGTGCTAAAAGAGGAGGCCCCAGAGCATTGTTTCCCACTGTCGCATCCTTTAAATTCTCCTCCCGGTTCCCTCCCATTACAAGTTTTGGTGAGAGCTGTGGATTACTTGACAAAGGCTAGATGGTAAATCATGTAAAATGTCACATTAATAAACCTTGCATTTTAAACCTTTTTATACTTAAACTTTATAGAAAAGAAAAAGGAAATGAGAAATCATAAAAGCATCATAAGAATGGATGGATGGGTTTCTCCCCCAAAATATTCTTAAATCCTTGAGTTAAATGCACCACTCAAAGACAAACATTTGAACTACGTATTCTGCTTTTAAAAGCCTCCTGTACGGTATCTCTCTATATAATTCTAGAACGTCTTGTAACTTCCTCATAGAAGGCTATATCAGCCCTACACACAAACTAGTTTAAAGTTAGGCACCTTTTTGCATGGTAAAGCACATTTTATTATTTATATGCCTAAATGTGGATTGAAGTGCCTACCTTTAGGGAGCCAAATTTGAATTTTTTTGACTAAAACTGTATCGCACTTCTTTACATTTAACAGGTTGGTTGGTTGTTTTCTTTATACGATTTTCCAATGTTTCTCCATAATGTGGATTAATCATTTAATGGATGTTTTAACAAATGTATTAAAACAGCCATATTATTTTACTGAAAAACTATCTGAAGTACAAGTTGCAAACAGCCACTTATAAACTAGTTGGTAAGGATTACTGATATGATTCTCTCCACCTGCGCAGTAACACTACAGGGCCTATAAAAACCCCACTGAGAACACCTTATCAGAGCACAATGGGAGTATCAATGATAATTCAATTCAGACAATATTGATTCATTTAAAATTATATCCAGGTTGAGGGACCTTCACAATTAATAGGATGCCATTCTTCAGCTGTACTTTTGAAGATGGGTTAGGATAAGCAGAAGCACCTCCATTGTCTTAAGAACTACTTTGGGCCTAAGGCTAGGTCCACACTACAGCGGGGGGTCGACCTAAGATACGCAACTTCAGCTACGTGAATAGCGTAGCTGAAGTGGCGTATTTTAGGTCGACTTACCTGGCTGTGAGGACGGCGGCAAATCGACCGCTGCCGCGCCGCCGTCGACTCCGCTACCGCCTCTTGCCGCGGTGGATTTCCGGAGTCGACGGTAGAGCCATCAGGGATCGATTTTATCGCGTCTTCACTAGACGCGGTAAGTCGATCCCCGATAGACTGATTGCTACCCACCGGATCGGCGGGTAGTGAAGACGTAGCCTAATTCTGTAATCCAGGCTATCTCACTGAAGACAAGGTAGACTTAGAGCCTTTGTAAGATATTGTTTAACTCTGCATTTATCCAGGGGGATGTTAAAGTACCTCTTAAAAATTCACTTTAGGCTTGTCTACACAGGGACACTCAGGAAAATTAATCCAAATTAACCAAAGGTGTGAATTTAAAGTAGATTAGCTAAACTGTATTAAACCCCTGTGTGGACACTCTCCTTCAGAATTAGTGTTTCTAATTTGGTTTAGCATAATTCACTGTTAACAGTTTGTTAATGGGCGTCAGCAGGGCCTACAGGGACAGTTAGACCATGGCAGGATAGTGTCGGGTAGAATCGGCCTCCAGCTTGTCGTGAACTAAACATTTGTGTAGACAAGCCCTGAGAATAATGCCTAAATGTAGGTTTATATGGAATTGGACCAAAATACTGGTGTTAACAATGTGCAGGGCTGGGGGTGGTGAGGAAGAGGG